CTAAAAGTCAATTGAAATTAACTTTAATTCAGATAAGCTGAGTGATAATCGAGAGGAAAAGTATGACACAATGAGAAAATTAAAATAAAACACAACAGCTGAAACGTTCCTATTCCTTTTAGGGTGCTCCAAAATTGTTGATAATTTTAATGATAAACCGAAAAAAAAAGGTGAGACATTTTTTTTTTAGCAGATGCATCATGTTGGCAGATATGTTTTTAAACACAGTTTAGTGAGTCAGTCAGTTGGAAACAGCTCCTGTATCGGTCACATGACTTTCTTGAAATGACAGGACAGCACCAATACAGTGTTTTGCTCTATGGGCTTGACGAATGCACCGACGCATCGGTGTTGCTGGACCTTCTTGCACACCAAGAGACGTGGAGGAGGCTGTAGGAGGGCAACAACCCAGCAGCAGGACCGCTACCTCCACCTTTGTGCAAGGAGGAACAGGAGGAGCACTGCCAGAGCCCTGCACACAAATGTGCATGTGTCTGCACAAAGGGGGTTAGAAACCGGCTTTATGAAGATGGTAAGAGGGCCCAATGTCCACAGATAGGGCTTTATTAACAGCCCAGCACTGCACACAACACTTGGCTGGTTTGGCAAATTTGCCACTGGCGCCCTGTGCTCTTCACAGATGAAAGCAGGTTCACACTGAGCGCATGTGACAGACTTGACCGAGTCTGGAGACACGATGGAGAGTGATCTGCTGCCTAAAACATCCTTCAGCACGACCGTTTGGCAGTGGGTTGGTGTGGCATTTCTTTGGAGACCTGCACAGCCTCCATGTGCTGACCCAAGGTAGCATGGCTGCCATTAGGTAACGAGATGAGGTCCTCACACCCTTTGTGAGACCATATGCTGGTGCAGTTGGCCCTGGGTTCCTCTAAATGCAGGACAAAGCTATATGGCTGGAGTGTGTCAAAAATTCCCCCAGAGCCTAATCCGATTGGACACATCTGAGACCTCAGGTCTCAATCCATCTACCAACGTAACGTTGCACCACAGACTGTCCAGGAGTTGGTGGATACTTCAGTCCAGGTCTGGGAGGAGAACCCTCCAGAGACCATCCAGCCCCTCATCAGTGGCATGCCCAGGCATTATAGGGAGGTCATACAGGTACATGGAGGCCACACACAACACTGAGCCTCATTTTGACCTGTTCTAAGCATGTAGTCTGTTTTTCCTCTCTAACTTAGAGTATTACTCTAAGTTAGAGAGGAGTAACTCCAAATCAAGGACTCCATTGCTAAATAAAATTGATTTCCGTTGATGGGTTTTGTTGGTACATTCAACTTTGAACAGCAAAAAATTTAAATGAAAGTATTTCATTTATTCTGATCTACTGCTGTGACTCCATTCTGGAAAGAAATATCAGCAGAGCTGCTGCCATCAACACCTTTGTTTATCGATGTTGGAGATCGGCCTGTTTTCCAGTGTAGTCCTGTTTCTCTGCCTGTGACTGGCTGAATGTGCTCTCTTCATCCTCTGACATGGGAGCTGGCTCAGAGCTTGTCTGCCTGGCTGTGTGTTTCCTAAAAGGGGCCCGCCTTTTACAGCTGCTTTTTGTATCTCTGCTTCTGTCTCCCTGAACCCCAGTCAGCCTCAGCAGAGCCTGGTTCTGCTGGAGATTTCTTCCTGTTAAAAGGGAACTTTTCCTCTCCACTGTCGCTACAAGCATGCTTACTGTGAGGGATTGCATCAGAGTCAATGACTCAATGCAATCAACTGGTTTTCCTTACATAGAAAACTTTGAATCAATGTGACTGGATGATCTGTAAAGTGCCTTGAGATGACATGTGTCGTGAATTGGAGCTATAGAAATAAACTGAAACAGAATCTAGGATGTTTTGAGCATTGAATTATACAGCTACCATCTCTTCTCCACACACCAGATATGCTCAGCAGTATCTAGTTAGATCATCTATTGCATATTTTTACACTCAACGTTTCTTAAGCTGAATGAACTGATGTGCTCCAGTACTATAACAGGATCCTTCCCGTCATGCTCAACAGATATTAAATCACAGCTAATCTTTCTGAACCGCCTCTTTTGCAATAAAAAATAAATCACACCATTCTACACCCAACATGACATTTTTATGACGGACTGCAATCCGATTTACTAAAAGCCCAATCGCTGAAACTAAATAAATCTGGAGTTTTCTCTCTTACTCTGCCATTTAAGGTTACATATTTTTTTAATTAAATGTAGATTGTGCACTTTAAGGAGGATTTCAAATAAATGAACAAAAGGAGCAGCCTCCATGCTGATTTAAAGCCATTGTGTGTGAAGGGGGATCACCTGACTCTGCCCCACCTGCTGGAACAGAGGCGGTGTATTACACTTCAGTTATCAACCTGAACCAAAACACCACCAGCTTCATCTTACCTGCATAGCCAGCGTACAGCCATCTGACCTGTTGCGGAAATCCTCTCCCCTCCGCTGATTAAAGCATAACATTAGCTTACCTAGCTACCTTCTAGCATTTACCTTCCAGCTCAGCTGTTTGAGCTAACGCGGAGTTAGGCTTTTCCATACAGATAGAATTTAACTAAGTTGCTTAAATGTTAAAAAAAAGAAATGTTTATTGAAATATATTTATGAAACACGAATACATTTTTCCTTACACTGAAGAAAGGACAATGAAGTACCGAGTTTCTGTTAAGCGGTTTTACGATTTTTTAAAACCATGCGTTAGTTTTTGTTGGCCAACATTAATTTTTAAGGGCTCGCTGTTTTTTTTTTTAATAAAAAACTTTATTAGAACAAGTAACAACAAGCAGCTGGGTTAAATAAGGCAAAATCACAGCTTTTCGACCTAACGTCGAAAAAAGAGCAATTCTCTTTTATTTTACCTACGCTTTACTTAATAAAGCATGCAAGAACAAATGTGTGTAAATATATGTGGATGTAAGAAATGTATATCTAGATTAAATAGAAAGAAAAAACAATATAAAAATAAAAACACATATTCATATTCATAACAATTTATATAGGTCTCTACATATCTCAACATATTTTAAAGATTGTATGGGAGTCAATTAAAAAAAAAAAAAAAAAGCTTTAAAGACTGGGGTTATTTTTTTTTAACCAAACATAACAGAGTTATTATTGGTTCTATTTAATAATACCCCAAATGATAGGACATCTCTAGAAATGTTTGTAAAATAGTATTTTTTGTTTTATCCATCTTTCCAAAAAGATAGAGATTTTCTTGAATTCAAAGAGAATTTAATTTAATTCTTTCTATGTTGATTTGTGTAAATTAGACTTGATTGATATTGAATCCGTTGATTATGGATTTTATATATATATATATATATATATATATATATATATATATATATATATATATATATATATATATGTATTCATATTTTTAGGATTTGCAAATATATTTTTTCTATTCCTACAAGATTGACAAACCTTACAGTTTAATTTAATATTAATACAGCTAGGCCTCCATGAAGCTAAAAATTATGTTTACACAAAAGCTTGTCTCAGGTATGTTTGTAACAGTCTTTTATTTCATGGAATAACTTCTTTAATGCAGTTTAAAAGCAACAGTTTTGTTCAGAGAAAATTGAAGCTTATTGAAATTATACATGACAGTGGCTTTTACCTTTATATTACTACACCATTAAATAAAGTAGAACAGTTATTAAAAAGTAATAGGATATCACTGGAGCTGCAACTAATGATTATGTTAATTGATTCATCTGTCGATTATTTTTTTGATTAATAATCTGATAGCAAAAGATTAATCAAATTAAATGTATCAGCCCAAGATTTCTACAAATTTTTTTCTTTTCTTAGTTTTTACAAGTTTATTAAAACTACACCGTGTTTTTTCCCTTCCCTTTACCTACTGAATACTTATTTTTATTACCTTAATTTAGCTTTGTGGACATTTTTACTTGCTTAGGTTTGAAAGATTTTTCTTTTAGTCTTTTTCTTTGGAATTAACTTATTGCAGTATTTGTTACGTTTTTTTTTTATGACATTTTGTTATTTTTTTCAGAAGTTGTTTTTTTGTTTGCCAGATCAAATATATTTCTGATCTTTCATTTTTACAGAACTGGAAATGATAGCATGAAAAAGAGAGGCACTTTTAGCGTAACAATATAAATACATTGATGAATAAATGCTATAAACTTAAAAAAGCATCATAATAACTCAGTTTGCTTTATTTGTCTAAAGCAAGGGGTCTGCAACCTGTTGCTCAAAGTGGGTTTTTGGACACTTGAAAATGGCTCTTCATTCCTTTGGCTGAAAATGATGAAGGGCTGCAAATCTTTGGAAAAAATATATATTCTAATACACTGTCTAGTTGCATTGGATTTCCAAAAATAAATCAGCTCTAAATGTAACTGAAATATAGATTTTTAAATAGTTTTTCCTCAAAATGCTTTAATGGGATTTCAGCAACCAATTTAAAAACCTTTTATTCTCTTTTCACCCCCCCCCCCCCCACCCACCCCCCGTCATTTTAAAACTTTTGAAATGGAACAGTTTTTATTAAAAAACAATCTTTGGTAGATATCTCCCCAAAAAAAAAAAAATAAAAAAAAGTAACAATGTAGTTCATTGCTGGGCAGGATGTAAAAGATGATCTTTGGATTGTAAAAGTTGCAGATCCTTGGTGTAAAGTGTCAGCTCTCTAAAAGTGTGGGTAGAGTTCTTTCATTTTGCCTTTTTTAGGGGGAATTTGCACATGTTGATAGCTACTACTTCAAATACTACCTCACACTTTCACAGGGTATCCTAATAAAACAGTTTGTGGTCATGTTTACAGTTGGATTTTTCTGACTTTTCTTTGAAACTGGGATTTTATAAAATATAATATAACCAACAAATGGATTGTTAAATTACTTTCTTCAAGCAACAAACGGTTAATAACAATATTGATAGTTTATTTAAACTTATTGAAGGCCGCTCTGTCCTGTTTTGCGACACTTTACGGCATGAGAATCGTTTTAGGGTAACACCGATCGATAGGCGTCGCTTGTGGGTAGATACGTTTAACTCAGCTGTGTTGAGATAGAAGGGCATCAGCTCATTTAAAACACTGGTGTTTGTTGTAGCAAAAATGCAACAATGTTTTTAATTCTTTATCGCAAACACTGAGAAGTGGGGAGTTTATTGAAATGGCGGCGACATGGCGGAGCTTCAGTTGGTTTCCACACCGCATGCTAGCAGCGAACTGTCGGCTCTTTAGCTCCGAGCAGAAAAACATCACAAAGGTCTGCTTTTATTTGATGATTTAAAAGATGTTTACGTAAATCATTTAAACGGTGTGGTCGTCATTAAAGTCTCAGCCTACACAATTCCATGTAAATATGAAATTAAAGTCAATTTTATATTTACTTTTAGTTTTTGTTATTGTTTTTACTGTACTTATTATTTTAAAAACATGATTTAAAATCTTAGTCCACAATCATCCTCATTCACATTTTCCCCTGATAATAACCAGAAGACCCCTGTCATTTTCAGAAATAATAAACTGGGGCGGAGACAGCACTGTGGCTAGATTTGAGCATGGCTGGTTCTAGACCGGGGCCAACAGGGGCCAATGCCCCTGCAGATCATGTCCTGGCCCCTGTACTGAAGACATAATACTCAGATAAATTCTAATTATGATATGTGCTGGAACAGACATAGTTACTGAGTTCTTTTGGATCTATTTAGTTTTTTTCTTTACAAATTCTATTTTACTAATTATTTAAAAACAATAAGGTGATAGCTTCAGTGGAAGTTTTTACAGCTGAAATTATCAGTTTTTCTTGAGTTCTAATTCAAATTTTAGATTTTGTAGAATAATTTAGACTTAAATGACGTCAAAAATATGTAAAATTCCTCAATTCTGACTGTATATTGACCTAATAAGACATATAATTTTAATTAAACCTAACTAAATAAGAATTCTACTTCATACAGCTATTTTAATGTATTTGAATCCCTTGCCCTGTTTTTTATTTCATGCTTTTCTGGGCCCCCATGATAACACGTTGGCCCCCTCCTGGCCCCCTGGCAAATTTGGTCTAGAACCGCCACTGGTTTTGAGGAAGCTAGCTGAGGTCCTTAAGTGTTTGATGCAAGACTTCTTGTTATAAAGGGTGTGATCTCTTCTGCCATCATCTGCTGGGATAACAGCATCAGAGCAAAGTACCGAAAGAAGCTAATCAAACTAATAAAGTTTGCTCTTTACTGGGAGCTGTTCTCAAACCTCTGGAGAGAATATTTACAAAGTAAAATGTCTTCATAAAAAGGAGAAAAACAACCAGAAGCTTCTGCTTACAACTGTTACTATCAACAAGTCATTGAACAAACCTTTAAACATAAGTTACAACATTCAATTTCTCTTTTGGACCTATTTTGCTGTGGGTTTGGTAGATAAAAAAAACAAAAACAAACAAACGTCAAAACTGTCATGAAAAACTGCAATGGTTAAACAACAGATAAATATACAAAAACAATTAAATACATGAATGTTTTTTTTTTATAACGTTTGCTTTGAATCGATAAAGCTCATTTTATGGGAATTATTATCCATCTATGGTATTTTATGCTTCTTTTCATTGTACCCCTTTTTTAAAATCTATAGGCTCCTTCTATTACAAATTAAGTCATTTGGTTAAAGAGAAGCTCTGTTTAGCATTGAAATGTACCTTTTCTCTGGTATCTGACTCCTGGCTCTTGTTTTTCTTCTCGCTCTTCTCATGGTGACGTCTGCAGAGTAATGATAAGCTGTGTTTATTTATCTGCTCAGTTAAGCGCTTGTCCCGGCGTTTCAAGTGCAGGGCGACCGCTGCAGCGCCTTGCAATATTATTCACACTCCTTGGATATTTTCACATTTTTTCCAAGTTAAAACCCAAACATTTATATATTTTGCAGGAATTTTATGTGCAAGTAGTTTTTAAAATAAAGAAAAATTATACGTTTCTTTTGAAATATGGTAAAATATTTCAAATTTAGTAGGTATTATTATCCCCAGTCATTCTCTTATATACAGTATGTTTTTCTTTATTTAAATTTGTTATTAGCACATGCATGTTTTCTCTTTAGCTCTACTTCTTAGTTATATTCTACTTGGTGTTGATCGAACACAAATCTCCACAGAACTCACTGAAGTCTTTGTGATGTTGATTTGAAATGTTCCAGGTGTCTGAATTCTTGTTGCAAGGTCCCGGATGTCAGCAAACCAGGCTCGATTAGAGGAATATAGATGTCTCCAGGGAGATCTGCATGGGGTAGAATACAATTAGAAATGTTTCCGGCTATTTGAATCGCTTCATTGGAGTTGTACTAGACTGCATGTTTTAATTTACTCTAATCATGGTGTCACAGAAACAGTTGGAAGAGCCAAAGAAGTGTATGTGCTCTCATTGGTTGTTTTAAACTTTTAATAGTTCTGTCTTTTTATGTTTCTATTGTCTAATTACCATGTATTCATTGTTCATTATTCTACTTTTTGATGTATGCATTAGGTATCTCCATTAAGGCCAGAGCCCAGCCCTGCACATGACTGGATCGGTCCACCAAACCCTCTGTCAAATTTGCGGCCCATTGTTTACCGCGTCATTGAGAATGAATCTGATGTGGAAAAGCAGCTGAGAAAGCTGAGGCAGGAGACTGAAGACTGGAATAACGATTTCTGGACAAAGCAGAACGTCAGCTTCAGCAAGGTTGGATTTAATATTCTCCTATAATTGATGGTTTATATGGGGGGCATTTAAGAATAGAAAGATACTGTTTTGTTGATAATTTACATTATTTACAGAAGAAATGTCAATTTGACCTAGCCTAACATAGTCCTACTCAATTCTAGCCAGAATATGAGTCTGATACTGCTCCATAGAGCTGTGATTATGGGGCGTGTTTCGAACGGACCAGGAAAAAAAATGCCTCTGCACTCAATTGGACAGACCTACAACCAATAAGAGCAACGGAGTGCGTGACGTATGTTAAGCCAGGCATAGTTGTTGTCAACAAAAATCAAAGCGGGCTGTTGCACGCCTAGAATAAGAAGATGAGCCCTGATCGCGTTTCTCTTTTCCTCTTTTAAAATTAATTTGCTGTCGATATCTTCTAGAACAGACTTAATAGCAGAATCCACTCACCTCAACTCTCCGGCGGCAGCCATTGTTGTTGTCGCCCAAGCGCGCATTGGTCACGTGGTTGATTACGTTACTGTTGATCATCTGTCCATCATCGTATAAAGCCCGCCCTGACAATTTGATTGGATCGCCAGAGAGTGGGTGATCATACTCGCGCTACTATAGAGCAGAGCCAGACCGAACTTCCCGACCTCAAACCTTGTGGGCGGGACTAAGTTCGGAATGGCACCCAAGCTAAATTTGACCATCACGAACTCTGAAGTCCATTCTGTGTAGAGTTGTGTTTTAATCAGCAGAAGGCAGCTAAGGACAAATGAGTAGAATGATATAAAATGTTTAATACAATTTGTCAATCATTTTAGAAAGTAGAATTAATATTTTTTACACAGAATAAAATATTTTAAGTCTTTATGTTTTGTTATTTTGGTTGTAAACACTTTGGATTGTCCAAAAGTTAATTATTTTAAACTCATAGAATTCCACTGTAATCGGCTAATTAACTCAAAACTCCAGCGTTGGTTTTGTCTCTCTCTAAATTGTCTATCAGTCCTAGTCAGTGGGAAACACAATGATTTAGATGACTTTTGACTTAAAAGATGTGAAGAGAACAGATATTGGTACCTTCAAATATGAGGGTAAGACACAAAGGTTCACTGGAGGTTCAGAGTCACCTATCAAAGCAAAAGGAAGGTAAGAATCTGGCAATCTGACAGAAACAACCTCAAGATGATTTCCAAGCATCCATTCAAGTGTTTTGGAAAGCTTCAAAAAGATTTAACTCAAGTTGGATTTGGTGTATCAAGAGCTGTGGCAAACAGACAAATCTTACACAAAGGCTGCATGCATCTTTCCTTGGTTAAGAAGCAAAGTGACTAGATTGAGCTTAATGGTCCTAAGGCATCTTTTAGATCAGGGGTTTTCAAAGTATGAAAGGGTGGCAAATACACCCTTTTTTCATTTTTCTAATGCTAAGAACAACCCCAAACTCACTTTTCAACTGTTTTCTCAAACAAGCGTTACATCTGAAATTCTGAGTTTAATGTTTGAGATACCAACAGTGTTTTTACATCTTAACAACAACATTTTGATCAGATCTTCATTGAGAGCTGTGGAAATTCAGTCCCTACTGACAGCCAAAAGTGCGCAAGTGACACGTCACTCATCCTCTGTTTTAAGTCCAGGTCACAGCTCAGCTCAGCCAGAGCCTCTTCCTCTCCTGCTGAAAGTCCATCTTTGAGTGTCGCAGGGAAGGAAAATGGGTTTCTCACCCACTGGTTTGCCATTGTCTCCTCT